TAGTAGTATAGTATAGTATATATATATATATATATATATATATATATATATTATATATATATATATATATATATATATATATATATACATATATATATATATATATATATATGTCTCATGATTATGTATAAGTACATATGGATAGTCATGTATCAGAACTGCTTTGACGCACCACTCAAAAGAGAAATCTTTCTACACGTTCGTACATCACCTCCCAGCTTCGATGAACGTCTCCAGGCAAACGTCAACTATATCGAACATGTCAAACAGTAAGTGGGTGAGAGTTGCTGATGTAAAACGCTTGAATGTATATACGTGAATCGTTGTGTATCTGCATACATATTTGCATGTTTGTGCATTATCCTAATTCAGTAGCATATATATATATATATAGAGTATATTTCGGCGTGTGTGAGGTATATCTTTGTGCATATGTCTGGCTTTATCTCTATATACATGCACACTTCTTTGTTCGAGACTAGGACCGAATATCACTCGTTGACGTACCATATGATTATATGGTAGCAGCATGGATATACATCATACACTTACATGAGCATTGCGATGTTAACTATGGTCACCTCTTAATGCAAGGGCATGGCTGTTGTGAATTACAGCAGATCGTCGTATGAATTTGCAGCGGTTTCCGAACACGTTAAATGCAGTCATCTGTGATATACCTTTGCAACTTAAACGTACATTTGATTCTGGTCGTGGAGACTATTATAAGTGCTGGCCTGAACCAGGACGAAACTTGAGCTTCCTTTCAATAGTACGTTGAACCTTTGAGAGTTCAGCTTTTATGCAATATTGCCTTTGAACGCTGAAGCTTAGGCTTTTTACAATGTTTTTTTTTGCGCTGAAAGTTAATCTTTCCACAATACTACGTTTAAATGCTGAAGTTTAAGCTTTTTGTACAATAGTGCGTTTAGGTTAAACTCTGAGAGTGTACTTTCATACTAGTGCATCAAACATTGTAGTATATTCCCACGCTTATGCAAACTATTCAGTGGTACGTATATACACCGGTGTCGTAATTATATACTTCTGAATTGGATGTTGAATGTCTGCCCTGTGGTTCGTTGCAGAGGCCCATTGTTGGTGGTGGTATGGATCAGAACAGGAGTGCAACAAATCAAATATCTACTAGTTCTTCATCGTATAATCTTGAATATTGCATATTTATCGTCTATTTGGTGGTTTTGGTGGTGCTACGGATTGAAACTGAAGTACAACAATACAAAAATTCATTAATCACAACGATGGCATGTATTCACGCTATAGTATGGATATCACCTACTCACCTTATACCTCCCTTTCTCATGAGATGCCAGTCTTGGTGGTGGTAGGAACCAGAATGGAATCTCAAGGCAGACATCTATGAATAGCATTGAATATTGCTGACGTATCGCATGCCTTACCTTTCTCATCAGATGCCAGTCTTGGTAGTGGTATGACCCAGAGTGGAACCTCGAGGCAAACATCTATAATTAGCAGCGGAGGTGAGGAGTGGGTTGTCAATCCGATCGAGCGCGCGCAATTCCATGAGACGTTCAAAACGATTGGCAGCACAAACGCTCAGGTGTGTGCGAGGAAAACACCATATAGAATTTTGGGCTAAATTCATAATATATATACGTTCCCGAATAATCGAGTATGTACGAATCTAAATACATGACTGCGCATATTCAGGGACTATTTTCCATGCTTTTATGCTTGATTGGAAGTATGTTGTGTATTTATCGAACTTATCTAGTACACAATGAAATTACTTTTTATATATCTATATTTATATTTATATATATATGTAAATGTATATGTATATGTATATGTGTGTGTGTATGCATGTGCATATGCATATGCATATATATATATATGTATATATATATATATATATGTATGTATATGTATATACATATATATATATATGCATATGCATATATTCAATTTTCATGTATACATCATGTATATCCATGTATACTCAGGGTCAAATGGTCGCTAACGGAGCCAAATGCCGCGACGTGTTTTCGCGGAGTAACCTGGCGAAGGAAGAATTGGGTCAGATCTGGCGGCTGTGTGATTTTGAAAAGAAGGGCGAGTTGGACAACGACCAGTTTGCTCTCGCATTGCACTTGATACACAACAAAAGAAAGGGTATGTTCCGCATTCAGTATGTATATATATATGTATGTAAATATATATATATATATGTATATTTATATATATATATATATATATGTATATGTATATATATATATATATATATGTATTAAGTGTCGTAGTTAAGGTAGTATGAGTGTGTATTACTAACTTAGAGACAG